TGATTTTTCAATTGTTGTAATTCAAGTTTGTCTACTCTTGAATCATTGAATTGTTCTAAGATATCACCCCATGCTTTCTTTGTGTAACCTGTTCCTTCTTTCCCTCCGTGTAAAGTTTGATCTTTCATTATAGTGAGAAGTATTTTGTCCTCCGAAGATTTCCATACATGCCTCTTTTTATCTGGGTTTTCTTTCCTATTTTTTTGGTCCTTCTGATCATCCATATTTATCTACAAGAAAATAAAAAATTTAAATGAGTATGTGATTGACAAACTTAATTTAAATGAGTATGTGGTTTCCATGTACAGCAGCAAGTAACTAGTGTAGTGGGTTTCTTTTATAATCAAACAGAGGTGTGTTTCCAATTAGAGAGAGGAAGGGACAAATTGCCAAGTTGGTGGTTCTAGTTTCATCTACGAATTGGCTATCTCAGATTACCGGAGTTTTTTTCTTTCTGCAAAATGAGCTTCATTACCAAAAAAATGAATCGATGAACAATACCATGAATTTGTAGATCTACAACTTATACGTACGAATTTGTTGATCAGGATGATTGATCGATGAACATTACCATGAAATATGTACATCTACAACTCATATGGACCAATTTGTTGATCAAGATGATTGATCGATGAACAATACCATGAAATTTGTACATCTACAACTTATATGGACTAATTTGTTGATCTGGATTGAAGAAGGAGGGAGAAGTATGGGATTCAACACACACATCGATTAGCTCTGTGGCTGAGACTATATGCAGGTTACAGAGATGATCGTGTGCCACTACCAGGCAGGATCGTGGGCAGACTGCGTGCCCACTACTCACGTATACGCACTGACTAGATTACAGTGCGTGTATACAGGCTACACTACGAGCTATACTACGTATACTCTAACACCCCCCCGCAGTCGTGACATCGGCTGGAGCGACGCAAAGACTGGCCCTGAACTGGAGGAAAACGTCCGTGGGCAGGCCCTTGGTCATCACATCAGCGAGCTGTTGCTTGGTGGGAATGTGGAGCACGCGGAACTCGCCCAGCGCCACGCGTTCCCGCACGAAATGGATGTCCAGCTCGACATGCTTCGTGCGCCGGTGATGCACTGGGTTGGCGGAGAGGTAGCAGGCCGAGACATTGTCGCAGTAGACAACGGTTGCAGAATGGATCGGCAAGAGCAGCTCACCGAGCAGCTGGCGCAGCCAGATGCACTCGGCGACAGCGTTCGCGACGCCACGGTATTCTGCTTCAGCGCTCGAGCGAGACATCGTGGCCTGCCGCTTGGAGGACCAAGAGACGAGGGTGTCGCTGAGGTAGATGCAGAAGCCGGACGTGGAGCGGCGGGTGTCGGGGCAGCCGGCCCAATCGGCGTCGGTGTAGGCGCGCAAGTCCAGCGTCGACGAGGGATGCAGGTGGAGGCCATGCGAGGGCGCGCCGCGCACATAGCGCAACACACGCTTGATGAGAGCATGGTGACACTCCCGCGGATCATGCATGTGGAGACAGATCTGCTGCACCGCGTATGCCAGCTCGGGACGCGTGATGGTGAGGTACTGGAGCGCGCCGACGATGCTGCGGTAGGTCGAGGCGTCGGTGACACGTGGCCCGTTGGCTTGAGGAAGCTTGCCCTTGGTGTCGATAGGTGTCGGCGAGGGCTTGCAGGTCTCCATGCCCGCGTGGTCGAGAATATCTTCGGCGTACTGCTGTTGGCAGAGGAAGAAGCCTGCCGCGGTGCGCGTGACCTGGATGCCGAGGAAGAAGCGCAGAGCGCCCATGTCCTTCATCGCGAACGCGCTGGTGAGCCGGAGAACAATGCGGCGCAGCAGGGCCGGCGTGGAGGCAGTGAGGACGATGTCGTCGACGTAGAGGAGGAGGAAGGCTGCATCGGCGCCGCTGGTGTAGACGAACAGGGACGAGTACGAACGAGTTGCCGTGAAGCCGATCGTTGTCAGGAACCCAGCGAAGGTTTGAAACCAGGCGCGGGGAGCTTGTTTAAGCCCATACAGCGACTTGTTGAGACGGCATACGTGGTGCGGCTGGTGTTCGTCGATGAAACCGGCAGGTTGGAGACAGTACACTTCCTCCGCGAGCGTCCCGTGGAGGAACACATTCTTGACGTCCAACTGGTGGACTGGCCACTGGCGGGAAGCAGCAATGGTGAGGACGGCACGAATGGTGGCCGGCTTGACCACCGGCGAGAACGTTTCCTCGTAGTCGACGCCGGCGCGCTGGCGAAACCCATGTCCATCAACTGGCACCTAGCTAGATCCATGTCCATCAAGACTTTTTTTGGTGGCTTTTCTCAAATTGATGGTTCTTTTGTTCAATCTTTGACCTGCATATAACCATATCACGTAGCGTGTGCGAGTGGTTTTTCTTATGTCGATGCTTTTGTTAAGCAGGATGCCTATTATTCTTGGGCTCAATGAGAAGACATGCGTTCAACCCAGTTTAAGCATGAATTAAACACATCTGATTTTGATAGCTGAACGAGGGAGGTTAACCGTTAATCGAATCCCGGACGCTCCCCCCTCTCCCTTCCATGCCCGAGCGCAGGATGTGGTGGAGCACCCTGGGTGATGGTTGGGATCGGGAGAAATCCCTGTCGGCCTTTCCGACATCGACGCGGTGGCGTCCGAGGGTGGCAGTGGACCTTCCTGGAGGGCGTCAGGGGCTACCCTTCCTTTCTCCTCGCTGCGTAGCGAGAGAAACCCTTGGCAGAAGCATCGTCCCTTCTTGAAGGTGTTGATTGGTGCCGGCACTTCGGAGTCTAGAAGCTTGATGGGAGATCTCCGGTGCGCGCAAAGGCCGCGAGGCTTCTTCGTTTTTATTAATCCGCTGTTCTCCGCATTTGTTTTTTTTTTGCATTTTTTCTTTCATTTATTTTGGGCGTGCATGTGCTGCCCCCGCTTTAGCATCTATCGTTTTTTGTATCGATATTGGTGTGGTTGTTTTTGTAATACAAAGCTATGGAAAACCCCTTTTTGGAGGTTAACCGTTAATCGTGCATTTTAGCAAGGTCTTCTCCACGGACCCGCTCCTCCTCGTATTCCTCCACGAGCAGCGCCCACAGTCACCTTCCCTCCCCTCCTTGCCATGGCGCATCACCACTCCTCCTCCCAGTCTCCGATGGCGGCCTCCCCTCCCCCACCCTCTCCTTCCCATGGCCTACCTTCTCCCTGCTGCAGCGACCCTCCCCTCCCGAATCCGCTCATCGCGCCTCCCAATCTCCCATGCCCGTGGCGCTTCTTCCTCCCCCTCCTGAGCCCTAGAGCAGCAACAAGGTCTCAAATCCTCACCCTTATTTCTCGCTGTAGAATATCTGAGTCCACTCCATCCTCATTTTGGAGCCATCTTCTGTAAATATAACAAGCTTCCATCTCAGGAAGTACCATTTGTGTCTTCTTGACTTCCTTCAGATGTGACGAACACAATCTGCTAGTTATCACATCTCCAAAGTTTTCCATCTCGAAAGTGGCCGGTCTGGAATTTCACAGTTGGGGGATGCCAAGCTTGACACTACCACATTTGAGCATTTGTATGTAATACACGCAGATTAGCCTAACTAGGAGTATACACTAAAATAAATTTTGCATTTTAGGAGGGGGTCCCATGGGCACGCACACTGGATCCCCACCCCTGCGAACAAAACCAGCAGCATATGTCTCCGTACCTATGAGCTAACCTCTGGCTCGAAATGCTATCATTTGCCCCAACAGTTTTTTGACCTTAAGTTGTGACATTAGTTCCCAAAGGATATGGCATCCTTCCTGTGCTAAAGATATAGGTTCTCACTTTCACGCTGAACTGAAGGAAGTAGTAGTCCAGGTTAGCTCTTAAAATCTACTCCTGCTTGCAAGATCAAAGAACTGATTCTCCTTCCATAAATTTGCCTTCATACATTGTAATTAGCTTTTCTGATAAATGCTTATGGCTGATTATTCGCTCACCATGTCTGCATTAATTTGCTTCATATCCTCTTAAGTTGGCATCTATCATGTCCTGGTGAATCTGATGGTGCAGGCACGACTAACTCATCTGAAGATGCAACCTCACGATAACATTACTTTCTGAGGATTAGTATCCTGCCTGACGGACCATTTCTTGTGTTTTGCTTTCCAGTGATGGTCTGTGTTGTCGTTAGGAAGGCCAATCAGGATATACGTGCAGCAGACGACTGCTGTTAGATTTTACCGGCGCGCTGAAGCATGCCTTTTGTTTTCAAGTCGTTGTGATATTGGTAAGAGAGTAAGAGTATGTGGTCCAAAATGTAATTTACTCTTATGGCTATAAAAATAAAATTATATAACTTGATCTACTTTAATACCCTTTCTCACGCGAGTTTATTATTGGTATTCATGGAAGTATCTATATGAAAAAAAGGAAGTATTTAGGATTATATTTTAGGTGCAGCCTCTATGCCGGAAACCACACTGCCTGTTACACAAGGGAATCGTAGCCCATACATAAGTTGGCCAAACAAAGCAAACAACCCAGATTTGTCTTTACCTTTATATCCCTGTGATCTTTAAAGCAGCAAGCAAAGAATCTGATGATGGATGTGGTGTGCAGAAGCAAAGAATTCACAGCTTTTGCTTTTGAGAGAGAAAGCAAAGCACGCACAAGGAAAGCAGCTAATGTGTATGCATTGCATATGCATGGGCCGTTTCCCATGCTAGCTAGTTCAAGGAGAAGTGACGCGAGGGCGTGTAACTTTCAGTTTGCTTGTGTAGCGTAGGTCAAGACTTCTGCCAGTGCAGCAATTAATCAAGGTAACTACATCAATCCTTTGCAATCTGCAGATTGATTAAATTGCTTCTCCAAATCTATACCTTCCTTGAACAAAGCATCATGTCATAACTTCTCCAAATGACTGTGTCGGTCTCTTGTGCTTTATTTATGAAAGGAAGGAAATTGGATCTGGAGATTTCTGTAGACTGTTCTACGGGTTAGATATTCGGAACGGAACTGCTGACATTGGAAGGATTGATTCGATTCATCATGCCTATACCAGAGGTATGTAGTTCATCACGCATGCTCTTCAATCCTTAGTGTTTAATGCTGCAGATTTGTGACTTACTTGGTTCCTTTAGCTAGTGAGCTCATCTGACCAGGATCTTCATTAATTAGTTGTGTTCCTCCGTAGGAGCTTTTTCATTTTTAGTTATGATGCAACTTGTAGTTTGAAATGAAAAGAATTAAAGAAACAAGGATAAAGTGATGAACCTTGTTTGATATTGTTATTGCTGAACATTGCAGGCGATCAAGATCCAAGCAAAAAACATCGATGCTGCAGCAGGGGAGATAATTGGCGTTTTGGAGGATACAAGCAAAGGAAATGTGATCTTTGTCAATGGTTTGTATGGGTTTGGGGCATCAGCAGCACTCAAGGCAGTAGCACAACGTCTGAAATCATCAAAATCAAAGTTTGACAGGGTTATTCATGTGGATTGCTCGTTGTGGAAAAGCATGAGGGCCCTGCAAAAGGCAGTTGCGGAGGAGCTGGAGCTTCCGCCGTCGGTGATGGCCATCTTCGATCGGTTGGACGAGGAGGATGATTTCAGTGGGATAAATGAAGGTTCTCGACGGGTGATAGCAGCTATTAGCACAGAAATCTTCAAAAATCTCACTAATAGTAGATTTGTGGTGATATTTCACAATGGGAGCAACGAATACATTGATCTGTACGAGTGTTGTGGTGTCCCAGTATTATCAGTTTTGAGTAATAAGGTGCTGTGGACATGTCACGGGAGGTTTCGCAGCTGTCCTGGTGACTTCAATATAATCAAGCACAAAGTAAAAAAGGTGACGCATACTGATGTCGTTATCGATTATTCTGATGATGATTGCATCCGCGATGAAGCATTATTGGAAGAGGCCAAGGAGATTGTCGCTTATATGTGTATTCCAGAGCCTGACATGAACCATATGATTGTTGAGAAGTGCTTTCAGTACGTCTGTGCATTGGGTTCTCGATCTACCTTGTCCTTCAAGTGGGAGAACCATGCTTCAATCTACTTGGTATGCGATGGGATTATACAAGGGCAAGGCGATACATCAGCATGGGTAATTGCCGATGCTCTACAGAGAAACATGTGTTTGAATAGTCTTCTACAATGGCCTAATCACCTTCGTCGTCACCTGCTTCATGACCGCTGGGTTTTGGTGCAACACAGGGTCCTGCGACCTGATGAGGTTGGCATAGTGCTTTCTGATGTGACATCCTTCTTCGCCGTACCAGATACTACATACCCTGTCCGAATGACGACATTACCAGATGGCATATTCCAACATTCGCACAGCAGCAAGCTTCGTGTGTTACATCTCTCTGATCACAGCTTCAGTTTTGAATCGCCTCCCTTCCTGTGTTGCAGCCAGCTAAGACTCCTCCATCTGAACAACTGCACAAATATCCCATCTGATAAGCATCCAAGCCACAACGAAGACATGTCATGCTTCCAGAAGCTATGGGTGCTGCACCTGAGGTATACAGACTGGTATCGATTACTATCAGAAGAGATGATGAACTTCATGGCTGACCTCAGGGAGTTGTATGTGAAGGGAGTCATGGGTTGGAGCATAGGTGATTTACGTGGTAGGGGACCTTCCCTTGTCAAGGTCCACGTAGAATCACGTTACTACTTTATTAATCATGCACCATTCCCTGACCTGTCCAGCGCAAGCTTCCTCAAGAAGATCATCCTTTACAATTGTGTTGATCTGGAACAAGTTGTCCCCGGCGTGCTGCCCCCATCGCTTGAGTCATTCACCTTCAAAACTGGAAATTGTGGCACCGACATATCTAGCATTTCCTTCCGGGGTTGTTCTCAGTTGAAGAGTATACTACTAATAGGAGTTCTAGGGAGCCTTGAGGAGCTGGACCTCTCGGGCACAATAGTGAAAACCCTTGACCTCAGGGAAGTGAGAGTCCGAAACCTCAAACATCTCATCTTGCTGGGCTGCGAGAAGCTCTGTGCAATATTATGGCCATCAGAATACGGCATGACAAAGGTTTTGGAGGTACTGCACATCGACACCATACGATATACATCACCTGGCCAAGCTAATTGGGAAGAAAAACCCAGGGATCCTATTGCAGCTATGGGGTCATCATCTATTCTTGTTGCTACTGCTACAGAGCTGGGCATCAGTCCACATGCACCATTTGAAGTTAAATGGTACATCTCTACAACGGATACAAGGATCCTTAGGTCGCTTGAACCAGTTAAAAGATATATTGAGCACAGTCATGTATATATGGAAATGGGTTCATCTCCTACAAGTGGTGCTACTGTTGGTGACAGTGAAGTTACTCAAGGAATCCGGAGTCTGTGTCAGCCTGATAATTATTTATATGCAAGGGATGCCTTCTTTCAAAGGGACCTACAGGCTGACGCTGATAATGAAGGTGCAACCAGCTGGATGTGGGATTGCCCAGCTAGTCCTACTCCAAGGGCCCAAGACTTGTATCTTCACATACATGATGAGCAGGAGGTGAAGAGGGGATTACTACAGCAAAAACAGAGCAACACTGAAGGAATTAATGTTAGCGCTGTTTTCCCTGGTTTCATAGTTAACAATGCTCGGATGCTTCACGTGCATGATAGCTCATCCGTCACTTGCATCACATGCCCACAACCACAAGGTTCATGCTGGAGGTGGCTTGAATGGTGCCGAGTCGAGAGGTGCCCCAAGCTAAGTACTGTCTTTTATACTCCCCAACCAAGTGAGGGTGATAGCTTCTGTTATGAGTTGGACACATTCTGGGCATCTGAACTCCCAAAGGCATGCCACATCTGTGATTGGAGTGCAATACATATGTTTTCCTTTGTACAAATAGTACTATTGCACCTGGACTATTGCCCTAGGCTCATACATGCGCTTCCCTTGTCCGAGTCTGTGGACACTTTGCCTCATTTGGATACCCTGGAGATTGTGTGTTGCGGTGATCTAAGGGAGGTCTTCGCTTTGGACCCTAAGCAAAAGTGGCAGAGAATTATAAAATGCCCCAAGCTAAGGCGCATTTGAAGGAAATATGCCCTAGAGGCAATAATAAAGTTATTATTTGTTTCCTTATAATCATGATAAATGTTTATTATTCATGCTAGAAGTGTATTTACCGGAAACATAATACATGTGTGAATACATAGACAAATAAAGTGTCACTAGTATGCCTCTACTTGACTAGCTCGTTAATCAAAGATGGTTATGTTTCCTAACCATGAACAATGAGTTGTTATTTGATTAACGAGGTCACATCATTAGCAGAATAATCTGATTGACATGACCCATTCCATTAGCTTAGCACCCGATCGTTTAGTATGTTGCTATTGCTTTCTTCATGACTTATACATGTTCCTATGACTATGAGATTATGCAACTCCCGTTTACCGGAGGAACACTTTGGGTACTACCAAACGTCACAACGTAACTGGGTGATTATAAAGGAGTACTACAGGTGTCTCCAATGGTCGATGTTGGGTTGGCGTATTTCGAGATTAGGATTTGTCACTCCGATTGTCGGAGAGGTATCTCTGGGCCCTCTCGGTAATACACATCACATAAGCCTTGCAAGCATTACAACTAATATGTTAGTTGTGAGATGATGTATTACGGAACGAGTAAAGAGACTTGCCGGTAACGAGATTGAACTAGGTATTGGATACCGACGATCGAATCTCGGGCAAGTAACATACCGATGACAAAGGGAACAACGTATGTTGTTATGCGGTCTGACCGATAAAGATCTTCGTAGAATATGTAGGAGCCAATATGGGCATCCAGGTCCCGCTATTGGTTATTGACCAGAGACGTGTCTCGGTCATGTCTACATTGTTCTCGAACCCGTAGGGTCCGCACGCTTAAGGTTACGATGACAGTTATATTATGAGTTTATGAATTTTGATGTACCGAAGGTTGTTCGGAGTCCCGGATGTGATCACGGACATGACGAGGAGTCTCGAAATGGTCGAGACATAAAGATTGATATATTGGAAGCCTATGTTTGGACATTGGAAGTGTTCCGGGTGAAATCGGGATTTTACCGGGTTACCGAGAGGTTACCGGAACCCCCCGGAGCCATATGGGCCATCATGGGCCTTAGTGGAAAGGAGAAAGGGGCAGCCCAAGGGGGCTGCGCGCCTCCCCCCTTCCCCTAGTCCTATTAGGACTAGGAGAGGTGGCCGGCCACCCCTCTCCCTCTTTCCCCCTTGGGAATCCTAGTTGGAATAGGATTGGGGGGGGGGGGGAATCCTACTCCCGGTAGGAGTAGGACTCCTCCTGCGCCTCTCTCTCTTGGCCGGCGCCCCCTCCCCCCTTGGCTCCTTTATATACTGAGGTAGAGGCACCCCAAAGACACACAAGTTGACACAAGTTGATCCACGTGATCTATTCATTAGCCGTGTGCGGTGCCCCCTGCCACCATATTCCTCGATAATACTGTAGCGGAGTTTAGGTGAAGCCCTGCTGCTGTAGTTCATCAAGATCGTCACCACGCCGTCGTGCTGACGAAACTCTTCCCCGACACTTTGCTGGATCGGAGTCCGGGGATCGTCATCGAGCTGAACGTGTGCTCGAACTCGGAGGTGCCGTAGTTTCGGTACTTGATCGGTTGGATCGAGAAGACGTACGACTACTTCCTCTACGTCGTGTCATCGCTTCCGCAGTCGGTCTGCGTTGGGTACGTAGACAATACTCTCCTCTCGTTGCTATGCATCACATGATCCTGTGTGTGCGTAGGAAATTTTTTGAAATTACTACGAAACCCAACAGTGGCATCCGAGCCTAGGTTATTTATGTTGATGTTATATGCACGAGTAGAACACAAGTGAGTTGTGGACGATACAAGTCATACTGCCTACCAGCATGTCATACTTTGGTTCGGCGGTATTGTTGGACGAGACGACCCGGACCAACCTTACGCGTACGCTTACGCGAGACCGGTTCCCTCGACGTGCTTTGCACAGAGATGGCTTGCGGGCGACTGTCTCTCCAACTTTAGTTGAACCAAGTATGGCTACGCCCGGTCCTTGCGAAGGTTAAAACGGAGTCTATTTGACAAACTATCGTTGTGGTTTTGATGCGTAGGTGAGATTGGTTCTTACTTAAGCCCGTAGCAGCCACGTAAAACATGCAACAACAAAGTAGAGGACGTCTAACTTGTTTTTGCAGGGCATGTTGTGATGTGATATGGTCAAGGCATGATGCTGAATTTTATTGTATGAGATGATCATGTTTTGTAACCGAGTTATCGGCAACTGGCAGGAGCCATATGGTTGTCGCTTTATTGTATGCAATGCAATCGCGATGTAATGCTTTACTTTATTACTAAACGGTAGTGATAGTCGTGGAAGCATAAGATTGGCGAGACGACAACGATGCTACGATGGAGATCAAGGTGTCGCGCCAGTGACGATGGTGATCATGACGATGCTTCGGAGATGGAGATCACAAGCACAAGATGATGATGACCATATCATATCACTTATATTGATTGCATGTGATGTTTATCTTTTTATGCATCTTATCTTGCTTTGATTGACGGTAGCAGTATAAGATGATCTCTCACTAAATTATCAAGAAGTGTTCTTCCTGAGTATGCACCGTTGCCAAAGTTCGTCGTGCCCAGACACCACGTGATGATCGGGTGTGATAAGCTCTACGTCCATCTACAACGGGTGCAAGCCAGTTTTGCACATGCAGAATACTCAGGTTAAACTTGACGAGCCTAGCATATGCAGATATGGCCTCGGAACACGGAGACCGAAAGGTCGAGCGTGAATCATATAGTAGATATGATCAACATAACGATGTTCACCATTGAAAACTACTCCATCTCACGTGATGATCGGTCATGGTTTAGTTGATTTGGATCACGTAATCACTTAGAGGATTAGAGGGATGTCTATCTAAGTGGGAGTTCTTAAATAATATGATTAATTGAACTTAAATTTATCATGAACTTAGTACCTGATAGTATCTTGCTTGTTTATGTTGATTGTAGATAGATGGCTCGTGCTGTTGTTCCGTTGAATTTTAATGCGTTCCTTGAGAAAGCAAAGTTGAAAGATGATGGTAGCAATTACACGGACTGGGTCCGTAACTTGAGGATCATCCTCATTGCTGCACAGAAAAATTACGTCCTGGAAGCACCGCTGGGTGCCAGGCCTGCTGCTGGAGCAACACCAGATGTTATGAACGTCTGGCAGAGCAAAGCTGATGACTACTCGATAGTTCAATGTGCCATGCTTTACGGCTTAGAATCGGGACTTCAACGACGTTTTGAACGTCATGGAGCATATGAGATGTTCCAGGAGTTGAAGTTAATATTTCAAGCAAATGCCCGAATTGAGAGATATGAAGTCTCCAATAAGTTCTATAGCTGCAAGATGGAGGAGAACAGTTCTGTCAGTGAGCATATACTCAAAATGTCTGGGTATAATAATCACTTGATTCAATTGGGAGTTAATCTTCCGGATGATTGCGTTATTGACAGAATTCTCCAATCACTGCCACCAAGCTACAAGAGCTTCGTGATGAACTATAATATGCAAGGGATGAACAAGACTATTCCCGAGCTCTTCGCAATGCTGAAAGCTGCAGAGGTAGAAATCAAGAAGGAGCATCAAGTGTTGATGGTTAACAAGACCACTAGTTTCAAGAAAAAGCGCAAAGGGAAGAAAAAGGGGAACTTCAAGAAGAACGGCAAGCAAGTTGCTGCTCAAGAGAAGAAACCCAAGTCTGGACCTAAGCCTGAAACTAAGTGCTTCTACTGCAAGCAGACTGGTCACTGGAAGCGGAACTGCCCCAAGTATTTGGCGGATAAGAAGGATGGCAAGGTGAACAAAGGTATATGTGATATACATGTTATTGATGTGTACCTTACTAGAGCTCGCAGTAGCACCTGAGTATTTGATACTAGTTCTGTTGCTAATATTTGCAACTCGAAACAGGGACTACGGAATAAGCGGGCACTGGCAAAGGACGAGGTGACGATGCGCGTGGGAAACGGTTCCAAAGTCGATGTGATCGCAGTCGGCACGCTACCTCTACATCTACCTTCGGGATTAATATTAGACCTAAGTAATTGTTATTTGGTGCCAGCGTTGAGCATGAACATTATATCTGGATCTTGTTTAATGCGAGACGGTTATTCATTTAAATCAGAGAATAATGGTTGTTCTATTTATATGAGTAATATCTTTTATGGTCATGCACCCTTGAAGAGTGGTCTATTCTTATTGAATCTCGATAGTAGTAATACACATATTCATAATGTTGAAGCCAAAAGATGCAGAGTTGATAATGAAAGTGCAACTTATTTGTGGCACTGTCGTTTAGGTCATATCGGTATAAAGCGCATGAAGAAACTCCATGCTGATGGACTTTTGGAACCACTTGATTATGAATCACTTGGTACTTGCGAACCGTGCCTCATGGGCAAGATGACTAAAACACCGTTCTTCGGTACTATGAAGAGAGCAACAGGTTTGTTGGAAATCATACATACCGATGTATGTGGCCCGATGAATATTGAGGCTCGTGGCGGATATCGTTATTTTCTCACCTTCACAGATGATTTAAGCAGATATGGGTATATCTACTTAATGAAACATAAGTCTGAAACATTTGAAAAGTTCAAAGAATTTCAGAGTGAAGTTGAAAATCATCGTAACAAGAAAATAAAGTTTCTACGATCTGATCGTGGAGGAGAATATTTGAGTTACGAGTTTGGTGTACATTTGAAAAACTATGGAATAGTTTCGCAACTCACGCCACCCGGAACACCACAGCGTAATGGTGTGTCCGAACGTCGTAATCGTACTTTACTAGATATGGTGCGATCTATGATGTCTCTTACTGATTTACCGCTATCATTTTGGGGATATGCTTTAGAGACGGCCGCATTCACGTTAAATAGGGCACCATCAAAATCCGTTGAGACGACGCCTTATGAACTGTGATTTGGCAAGAAACCAAAGTTGTCGTTTCTTAAAGTTTGGGGCTGTGATGCTTATGTGAAAAAACTT